TTATATCTTCTTTATGTTTCAGGCTTAGAAGAAAGCCTTCTTAAGTGAAACAAAATAAAAAGAAAAAATCCATCCCAACCATTATTGTAGAAATAAAGGAAAAGATGTAATCGATAGGTGAAAAAAGAAATAGAAGAAGAAAATCTGATACTTTGACTTTAAAAAGTAAAAAAAAAGTTTACAAAACTTCCATCCATAGAAAAAAATAAAATAAAAAAAGATAACACACTGTCCAATAATGCTTAATTTCACCGCTTATTTCCTTTTCTTTACCAGTTTAATTTAACTTCAATCTTTTTTGGGCAGTCTTATAAAAATAAGATTTCCTCACAGATGGACACACTTTCTCTTTCTGCTTTCCTCCCGTTGCGGAACTGTCCCGACTTCAGCAGCTTGAGGCTGTGCTTATTGTCACCGGCAAGAAGAGATTCTCTTGGATCAATCAGGGGCTTTGCGGTGTCCATGAGATCAGCAAGACATACTCTTCCCATTCATCATCTCTTTGGGACGGTTTAGGTCCGAATGGACCGTCCAGTGGCAAAAGTGTTGACTGCGATCTCGGAGCTCCGAGATCGCACGTCATACCATTGCGACGTCAGCTCCTTTCTCCCCAGTCAGTATTGATTTTTAATGAACACATAGATTTTGTTCATGACATTCTGTCTCTCATCTGGCCTTTCAGATATTTCCTCACAGCATAGATGTCTCTTTTTTTTTTATTATATTATGAAACTGGAAGTAATGCCGGTTTTCAGTGAAACTGTAGTAAAATGTGGTCATGTAACCATTAGGACGCTGCAAATGGCTGTACACATGGGCTGGTTGCTGAGTGTCCAACTTGGCATGATGTGATCACAGGAGAGGACATAATTTGGGAAGCAGGTTGTAAGTAACACCAGGAGGTCCATCATAACTTTGAATGGCCATTGCATTGTTTTGCGCTTGGATTATGGATATTCAGATTATCAAAGTAAGGAGAGACATAGGACAAGCATTCTAACTCTTTAGTGGACCTTGATGGACCTTAGTTGATGGACCTTAGTTGATGGACCTTAGTTTCAATATAAAAAAAAATACTTTTGTCCTGTCCCAGTCCACACACGCACATATCAAGGAGTTTAGGATACTTTATTGAGGCACTGCAAACGGGTAATTTTATTCCCCAGATCCCACCTACATTAAACACAAGGACCCAATGAGTTTGAGTCTACACAGCCAAGGCACAAAATCATAGGAAACACGAAGTTCAAGGCACAAGATTTCAAATCCACACACAAAATCCAAAGTCCAGGCATAAGTCAAAAATCCAAGCACAATAACCAATGTCAAGGTCCAAGACCAGAATCCAAGCACAAAATCCAAGAGCCAATCACATGGTCAAAAAATAAGGCACAGGTCCGGAAACACAAAGTCAGAACACACAGACAACAGAAAAGTGACTGGTTTTTTCCAACGCTGGTTTGCTCCATGCCTTGGGCTAAGTAGGCGCCTGGTGTAGCTCATTAGGCGGGGTGAGGATGCCTTGTGAGTAACCTCACTGACTTCTGTTGCGCTTCCCTCCGCTTGGTTCTACGCACTCTGAGATCCATTGAGGGAGGCAATTCCTCCTTATCTCTGTTGATTGACTGCAGCTACACCACTTTTCCACTCTGTGCTTCTGGTCATCTGCGTTTCCAGCCAGCAGTTATGTCTCTTCTTTCTTCTCTTCAGCCAGGTGCTTGTCTGGTTGTTCCTCTGCCGGTCTCCAATATTCTTGGCTTCTCCTCCTCTTGCTCATTCACTCCTGGCATGGAGTCTCTGCATCCTCCTGATGCTCTTCCACACCCTAGTCTGGAGCCTAGTCTGAGATCGGTAGTCATAAATTGATAGATTGAATGATTGAATGAATGAATGAATGAATGATAGTATTAAATTAAAACATTTAAATATTAATGCATATTTTGCAGAGTGTAAGGAAATTATTCAATGTTGTATCGATACAAAAGCAGCTAAGGAAGATCTGTAAGGATAAATTATGTTCTCATATCCACAAATCAAGTCCTGCTTTATATCAAAACTAGACAGACAGCAATGTTTCCCTGCATCTGTTTTGCCCACATTAGAAGCCAACGTCATTCTTTGGATGTATCCTAAGGCTGAAACCTCTTCATTAAATATGAAAAAAATATTTTTTTCCACAGTGGCAAGCGGGTATGGCATGCAGCTGTGGATATGGTTATATATTGTGCAACTTCCATGGGATTTTTTAAATATACTAAATAGCAAGTTACATGATTATTGCTTATTTATGAAGTATTTTGCATAAATAATTTAGATCTGAGTTGAACAGTACAGTAAGATTATGCAGAATGGTTCCTGAATAGATAGATGTAATATACCAGGAGATAGCTCTGAAAAAGGCTGATTCTTTTCTTCTATGGTTAGAGACTATTTTCACACCTACTACAGAAATTGAATTCTCCTGTATTCTATAAAATTTGATTTTTAGAGCTGCTGATGTTTTAGTTGTACTTGAAGTAGCAGCTTCTATGAAAGTCTATGAAATAATTCAGAAACTAAATTAATTGTTCATTCATTAAAACCACACCCTAAGTTGTAAAAATGGTGATGTAGAACTTACAGCCTTACCTACTGTTATTTGATTTTTTTCTATGCAGATTTTTCCTATATCTGTCAAATGAAAATACTGCTGTAATAAGGCCATCACAAACTTATTATTTTTATATTGTATGAAATTGGATTTGTGGAAAATGTTGACATATTTGTTTATGTATTTATTTATTTCAGGTGCAACTGCTATATGAACTAACAGATTTGATGGAGAAAGTTTGGAATAGGATTCATAAGAAGGGAATTTTCCATCAGTCTCTGGCACATACAGAATCTGTTTCAGGGCCTGTACCACCTGTTTCACCTGTTAAAAGTAGTATTGGGACTGCTCCCCTGGATGCCAGTACATGTAGTCCATCAGCTGACATTGGGACAACTACAGAGGTACTGAAATAAGTGATCGCCACAATGTAAAAAAGATGTTGAGACTCTGGAAAGAGTGCAGAGAAGAGCAACAAAGATGATTAGGGGACTAGAGGATAAAACATATAAAGAACAGTTACTGGATATGTGTAATCTTATGAAAAGGACTAGGGGTGACATAATAACAGTTTTCCAATATCTCAGGGGTTACCACAAAGAAGAGGAGTCAAGCTATTCTCCAAAGCACCTGAGGGCAGGACAAGAAGCAATGGGTGTAAACTAATCAAGGAGAGAAGCAACTTAGAACTAAGGAGAAATTTCCTGACAGTTAGAACAATTAATCAGTGGAACAACTTGTCTTTAGAAGTTGTAAATACTCCAACACTGGAAGTTCTTAAGAAGAGATTAGATAACCATTTGTCTGAAGGGATGTAGGGTTTCCTGCCTAAGCAGGGGGTTGGAATAGAAGACCTCTAAGATCATGTACAAGTCATCATTTTGTGTCACAGCAGGTTACTGAAGAGGCTGCAGTAAAAACTACTACAGCTGCTAAAACCATTATCATGATCTTGTCATAGAAATGTCCGATTTGTCAATTTTATCTTTTTGTGTGTGTGGAGATAACCTGCCTTGGATTTACTATTTTCCTTGAATATATTCTGATCCAATAGAATGAGGAAGCAGCATCAAAATATAACATCTATGATTATGTTTAAGACTTAGTACTTGAACATATTAAAGATCTTTAAAAAATGAATGTTTACAGACTATATCAAGATAAGTGATTAATAAGGTGAGGAAGTATGGCTCACTCCAAAAATTGTTTACATTAAATAGTATATGAAGTATTTATTTATATTATCCAGCTGTGAATAATTCTTTTCATTTTGATGGATTGATAGGGAGTGCTGCTCCATCATATGGTTAAAAAAAAAGTTAGGATTCCTGAATTAGAAACTGGGTAAATCTGAAGATGAAAACTTGAGTAAGAGGCTTAAGAGCCAAAGTTTAGAAACATTTAATCATTTTTAACCTCCTCTGCATTTGAGTAAAGGTAGTACAGACTGGCCACTTGTTACTGTTTACTTAAGTACAAACATTTGAGGAAGTGTTTAGTCCTTGGGGAACAGTAATTTGCTCCAGACTTATATCATCCCTGAGCTTTAATGCAGATCAAGGATGAAGGCCTTATATGTTTGGCTTTTCCAGATGAATAAAGATAAATTCTCCTAAGAAAAATATACTTGATATTTTGGTTCATTTTGCAAGAATTGGCAAAGAATGAAATTGTGTATTTTAGATCTTGGTATGAGGAGGGTGGAAAAATAGTTTACTTTTATTCTGGCTTTATTTTGTGGATTTAAATACAAATAGAAAACTAATGCATAAATCATTTTTAAATAAAATTTAAAATAAAAGTAGATATGGAAAGTGAAAGATTATGATAAAGTGTTAATTTTTAGAGAAAAATAAGGTGTAATAATGTACAAGATTATGATTAAAATAAATGGAAACTACCAAAAAGGACAAATTGCCCTATTAAAATTCAGCTGTGTTTTATAAAGTAAACTACATTCTTACGTATTTAGCTTTTTTAATTACAAGATGTTTAGCATTATTTTCAACCTACACCTATTGATAATCAAACATTCCTATTATATCCTGTTATTTGATAAGAATATTTGACTCCACAGTGAAGTTAAAAAGCCACATCTTCCCAAAAAGAATAGCTGTTCTTGGGAAACATCTGCAAATTATAATCATGGTAGCAATCATTGTTGTGTTCTTGCCAACCTAAATTCCTCTTACGTTTGTGAAGGAAATTCTCCTGAATTTAAGAACAATTCAAAGATCATTTGAATTATCAGTTACCAAGAAAGTACATCTGTGCTTAAACCACATGGATAAATATTGTATTTCATCTATGACAATCTCACAGATACAGAGGTATACAGCTGTTTCCCCTTCCAAACCTTCATGAAGTTCTCAGATTTATTTCAAATGTTTTAAAAATTAAATTAAATTTCATTTCATTTCCATCTTGATTGCTGTCATTTGCCCATCCCCTTTTTATGATGTGGCCCTTGGCCTGCCATTCAAAAGTCAAGTGAAGCCCTAAACTCAAATGTTGCCTACCTCTATTTTAGTGGTTCATTATAAAATACATTATAAAATGCAGTGTTTACCTCATACCATCTGAGATCTTGGAACTGCTGTGATATTGAGTGTTGCCTTTGTTAGGATACAGATTTTAGCCTTTGAAATTAACTGTGATACGCAGTTAAATGCATTGTTCCTCTATTATAAGAATATTTTTAAGTGAAATCGTGATGGATTTAATGAATGCTTTCACAGAAAAAGCTGTTGCTTTTTTTAATTAACAAATAGAACATAATTGATCATCAATGTATTTAGAATATTTCAATTTGGGTATTTTCCCACAATAATTATTTTAAATCATACATTACACTGGTATATGTAGATTTCAGATGTTAAACTCAAAACATATTTTTATGAAAGAACATTTTGCATTTAGATTAAGTATCGAAACACTTGAGTGCAAGCCATTTTAAAGAATCTTCCCATGGCATATATGTTATTTTTGTATGCAATTTGATATGTTTGTTTATTATTGTTATGTTAGATTTGTTATCATGAAAAATCATTTATTTAATTAAATTAGTACAGAGCAATGTATTTGTATGGAGAGAAGGGCACAACTTCTCTGTGTTCTCAGGTGTAGTCTATTGATTACAATTTGGCATATTCAGCTAAGATGCTTTCAAGTACATAGGAAATAATTCTTTTATAAAATGTTGAGAATAGTTCGTCTATTCAGAGAAATACAAACTTTCTTGAACTTCACTTCTAATCAATACTAAGAATATTTTGATTTTAATTAAATAGGGCTTTCTTTTTCTTTGACTTCTACTTACATTGCATTGGCAGGGGTTCAGTTATGCAGAAAAAATACATTTTCTAGAAGTTGATTCTCTGTGGATTATGATGGAGAAGGCAACATTATAGAAATAGGAGGCACCACTGTAAGGAATTTAGATGTATATGAAAATATCTGCCATGGTTTTCTATTATATTCCAGCTTTACTTAATTTACTTAATTAGTAAATCTGTGGATATCAGAAATGAATGAGTTGGGTGTATGTGTGTCTGTACTGTATGTATCAGAGTATTCTCAGCAGAAGGGTTCTCAGCATATGTGAAAGATGTAAAAGTGGATAAGAGTGTTTTATGTCCTAGTTTCCAGTATCCTTGTAGAATGGTACCAATTTAGAAACAGCACATTTTGCAGAGAGGAGAAATTGTTCATAACAATGTACATCAGAATCTTTTCTCACATTACAGAGCTTACTTAATAAGCCATAGCTTATAAAGTATTTTATTTACTTGTACAATTTCCATGTTGGAATTTCTTTTTCATATATACATATACATATACATATACATATACATATACATATACATATACATATACATATACATATACATATAC